GAAGCGAAATATGAGCGAGCAGAGCGTAGATCTGCCTGTTTCTGGCTGTGTCAAAACAAGCAGCATAAGTATACAGAGCTAATTAGGCAGACACTATTACATAATCATTGACTAGGATTAGTGCCCTCAAACCTGACCTAATAAACATGGTATCTTAAACAAACCAAATCACATTCGAAAAAAGTCTGTCTAATAAATGTTTCAAAATATTTTAAGAAAACCTGCATCCTCAAGATTGAGAAGAGGGTGTAAGGCAAGGATAAAAAGTACGAGGAGGAGGAGGAGGGGAAAGGGGAAGGGGAAGGGAGGGTAGGGTAGGTTAGGGTAGGGTAGGGGAGGGGAGGGGAGGAATGAGGGAGGAGGAAGAGGAGTAGATAGAGAGGGGGAGGGAGAGAAGTAACAGGGCGGGTAGAAGGAGGAGGATGTGGAGGAGGAGCAAGATGAAGGGGGAGGTACAGAAGGACATGAATAAGGATGTGAGGCAGGAGGAGAAGAGGCATAAGAAGAGGAAGAAAACAAATAGCAATTAATGTTCTAATATATTCTTCACAGCCTTGCCTGTGTTATCGGATAGCGCCAAGATGGCGAAGACAACTTGTCCAGACTGGAACGGCCTAAATTACACTTTGCCCATGTTCCACAAGTGTGAGATGAAGCGACTCCAGGATGGCAGCATGGTGCAGAGCATCCCCAAACTCATTCATTTCCCTTCTGTCATTGGCGGGTGCCACCAAAGGAAGAGTAAAGAAGGAATCCCAGGCGGGGAGAGAATATGCAGAATCCCGTGTAGGTTTCATTTTTGTATTCATTTTTGTTCTCATTATGTCAAATTTATTTCTTTGTTTAATAAATCTACATGCAGATAACACGAACTTCAGTGATATCATAAATGTTTGATATCAACTCCTAACTTCTTCTTCTACTACTACTGCTGGTACTACTACTACTACTACTACTACTACTACTACTACTACTACTACTACTACTACTCCTACTACTAATACTACAACTACTACTACTACTAATACTACTACTACTACTACTACTACTACCACCACTATTTAGATTGTGAAAATGAATCGTTCCAGTCGAAGAGTAGCAGCAATCGTATAATCAGAAAGCTGTTCAAAAGAGCGAGAAGACTTGACTGGTACTCCATTAATAGCAAATTATTTGATAATTAATTTCAGGCTACTGGGTGATTTGAGTAATAATTATTGAGGGTTGATAATTTCATTGGTTGGTATTCGTTTGATAACGGTGGAACGGCAGACGAGTTTATAACATTATTGAATTCGTCGATATATTGCTATCGCTATGACAATATTGGACGAGTCCAACAAAGTAATAGCGAGAGCAATATATTCTTGTATCACACGAAAACAAAGCCATACAATATTATTATTATTTTCTGTCATATATTGATCTGTCATCCGGGCACTACGCTAAAGATATTAAATACACTGATCCATTGTACCACTTGGAAGCCTTATAATTTATGACATGAGTTTTATCCTGTTTATTACTTATTTCGCAGATTGTGACATAAACCTCTGTAACAACGGCTGGTGTGAAGAGACTATGGTAGGCTACAACTGTACCTGCTCAAGTGGGTTTCAAGGGAGACACTGCGATGAAAGTAGGTGTAATATAATATAGTATCGGGCCATTAATTAATGGGTGGCCAATTATGAGCAAATAACATGAAAAGACTTTCTACAGGGTGTAAACAAAATGTCCACATTTTTTTTTTTTTACTTGCACATACTTCGCTTTATCTTTCATTAATAGACATTGTACATACATTCTGCACTGCACCTCACCAGTACGACAATATATGACGGTAGCCGGTACTGCAACTGAAGAAGAAGAAGATGATGATGATGATTAAAAAGAAAGTACCTCGCGGTCCTCTGTTCGAACTTTTTTTTTTTTAAATATAGAATTTCCCACAGGAAAAGCATTTTTCTATTTTTTTCTCCCCCCCCCCCCCCACTCTCGATCCTATCCCCATACCCTGAATTAGAGTGCGTGGAGACAGCCGGCGGGGAAATAATTTATATGAAAATAATGTTATGCATCGTCATTGACCTCGGTTATGGTTATTTGTTATTGTTATTTGGTATTTTCAGTGATCATACAGTCAACGACGGAAGCGACGACCAAGCCTACGACGAGCCCTACGAGTACGATATCGGAACGCTCAGACACAACGACTTCTCAAAACACCACTACCTCTGGTATGTCTAGGCAATAGCTTCATGAAATGACGTCATGCATTTGATTATTATCATAATGGGTCTAGCCACTATTTCCCCCTTCTTTCTCTCTCCAGCTCTCTCTCTCAGTCTTTATCTGACTCTGTTTTTCAGTCCTTTCCGGGCGTCGCTAAAACACTTTTTGAAGGGGATAGTGACCGTCTAATTCTTTTTGTTACAGTCTTGTTTTTCTTTGTCCTTCTTTCATGAGTGTCGCTAAAACACTTTATATGGGAGGGGGGCAGCTTGGGCTCATTATTTGTTTTAATAAATTAATTTGTATCACTTTTGCCTATAAGTTTATAGATAACGTTCTTGCTGTTGTTGTTGTTCTTCTTCTTCTTCCCTCTTCGCACTTTCTTTTTCTCTGTCTGTCTGTTTTCCTGGCGTCGTTCCTTTTCCCCAATTCATTTGATAGGTCTTTTTTTATATTCCGTTCAGAGTCGGTGCCAACGGAAGCCAAAACCAAGTCCGAGCTGAGTCCTACGACCACGATTCAAATTTACCATAATGAAGCGAAATATGAGCGAGCAGAGCGTAGATCTGCCTGTTTCTGGCTGTGTCAAAACAAGCAGCATAAGTATACAGAGCTAATTAGGCAGACACTATTACATAATCATTGACTAGGATTTGTGCCTTCAAACCTGACCTAATAAACATGGTATCTTAAACAAACAAAATCACATTCGAAAAAAGTCTGTCTAATAAATGTTTCAAAATATTTTAAGAAAACCTGCATCCTCAAGATTGAGAAGAGGGTGTAAGGCAAGGATAAAAAGTACGAGGAGGAGGAGGAGGGGAAAGGGGAAGGGGAAGGGAGGGTAGGGTAGGTTAGGGTAGGGTAGGGGAGGGGAGGGGAGGAATGAGGGAGGAGGAAGAGGAGTAGATAGAGAGGGGGAGGGAGAGAAGTAACAGGGCGGGTAGAAGGAGGAGGATGTGGAGGAGGAGCAAGATGAAGGGGGAGGTAGAGAAGGACATGAATAAGGATGTGAGGCAGGAGGAGAAGAGGCATAAGAAGAGGAAGAAAACAAATAGCAATTAATGTTCTAATATATTCTTCACAGCCTTGCCTGTGTTATCGGATAGCGCCAAGATGGCGAAGACAACTTGTCCAGACTGGTACGGCCTAAATTACACTTTGCCCATGTTCCACAAGTGTGAGATGAAGCGACTCCAGGATGGCAGCATGGTGCAGAGCATCCCCAAACTCATCCCTTTCCCTTCTGTCATCGGCGGGTGCCACCAAAGGAAGAGTAAAGAAGGAATCCCAGGCGGGGAGAGAATATGCAGAATCCCGTGTAGGTTTCATTTTGTATTTATGTTTATTCTCATTATGTCAAATTTATTTCTTTGTTTAATAAATCTACATGCAGATAACACGAACTTCAGTGATATCATAAATGTTTGATATCAACTCCTAACTTCTTCTTCTACTACTACTGCTGGTACTACTACTACTACTACTACTACTACTACTACTACTACTACTACTACTACTCCTACTACTAATATACTAATACTACAACTACTACTACTACTAATACTACTACTACTACTACTACCACCACTATTTAGATTGTGAAAATGAATCGTTCCAGTCGAAGAGTAGCAGCAATCGTATAATCAGAAAGCTGTTCAAAAGAGCGAGAAGACTTGACTGGGTAACCCATTTAAATAGCAAATTCATTGATAATTAATTTCAGGCTGCTAGGTGATTTGAGTATTAATTATTGATGGTTTATAAATTAATTGGTTGGTATTTCGTTTGGTATCGGTGGAACGGCTGGCGAGTTTAAAATATTGGACTCGTCGATATATTGCTTTCGCTATGGCAATATTCGATGAGTCGCAAACGATTCCAATATTGTAATAGCGAGAGCAATATATTTCTGTATCACACGAAAAAGAAAAAAAAAATTATTATTATTATCTTTCATATATTGATCTGTCTTCCGGGTACTACGCTAAAGATATTAAATAAACTGATTTATTGTACCACTTGGAAGCCTTATTTATAAAATAATTAGTTTGATCCCGTTTATTTCTTATTTCACAGATTGTGACGAAAACCTCTGTAACAACGGCTGGTGTGAGGAGACTATGGTAGGCTACAACTGTACCTGCTCAAGTGGGTTTCAAGGGAGACACTGCGATGAAAGTAAGTGTAATATAATAGGCGTATCTGGCCAATTAATGAGCAATTAATGAATGGCCAATTAATGAGCAATTAGCATGAAAAGACTTTCCACAGGGTGTAACAAAACAAAAAAAATCGCAGGTATTTGTTTACTTATATGCATTTTTGCTGTATCTTATCAGACATGGGGACATTGTACATACACCAGTTCGACAATACAAGACGCTGGCCGGTACTGAAGAAGAAGAAGAAGAAGAAGAAGGAGAAGAAAGAGAAGAAGAAGAAGAAGGAGAAGAAGAAGAAGAAGAAGAAGAAAAAGAAGAAGAAGATGATGATGATGAAGTACATCACTGCCCTCTTTGGGATTCCCACAGGAAAAGTATTTCTCTGATTTCTATCAGCCCCCCCCCCCCTCCCCCTCCCCCTCTTGATCGTATCCCCCTTCCCTGACTAAGAGCGCCTGAAGACAGCCGGCAGGGACATAATTTGAAAGGAAAATAATGTTATACATCGTCATTTACCTCAGCTATGTTTGTCTGTTGCTGTTATTTTCAGTGATCATACAGTCAACGACGGAACTGACGACCAAGCCTACGGCGAACATAACGACTACGATTTCGGAACGCTCATACACAACGACTTCCCAAAACACCACTACCTCTGGTATTTCTTGGCAATAGTATCATGGAAATTATGTCATGCATTTGATCATTATCATAACGAGTCTAGCAACTGTATACCTCTTCTCTCTCTCTCTCTCTCTCTCTCTCTCTCTCGGTCTATCCGGGCGTCGCTAAAACACTTTTTTTAAAGGAGGAAGTGACCGTCTAATTCTTTTTGTTTGTTTTTTGGTTGTATATATATATATATATATATATATATATATAGTCTCATTTTTCTTTGTCCTTCTTTCATGAGCGTCGCTAGAAGACTTTAAAGAGGGGGCAGCTAGTGCCCATTAGTTTTTATAAATAATAATGAAAAAATAATATTTTGCCTATAAGTTTAACGACAACGTTCTTGCTGTTGTTGTTCTTCTTCTCCCTCTTCGCACTTTCTTTGTCTGTGTATGTCTGTTTCCCTATATCATTCACTGGCTCCGGCTCTTCCCCCCACTCTTTTAATATTTTTTTAATATTCCGTTCAGAGTCGGTGACAACGGAAGCGAAAACCAAGTCCGCGGCAAGCCCTTCGACCACGATGCCGGAACGATCAGAGGCAACGACATCGCAAGAAACCACAATTTCCAGTAAGAGAAACAACTTTCCCCTCTCTCTCCCACTTCACCCTCTTTTTTTGTTCTCTCTCTCTCTCTCTTTCTTTCTCTCTCTCTCTCTCTCTCTCTCCCTCTCTCTCTCTTTCTCTCTCTCTCTATCTCTCTCTCTCTTTATCCCTTTCCTGCCACGGGCGTCGCTAAAATCTTTTTTAAGGGGAGGGTTTCCGTCTTATTCGTTCGCCCACGAGTTTAATGACAACAAACACATTTAGATAAATTATTTGGTAAAAATTTACTTGGGCTTTGACAAAGCACCACTAAATCTACAAACACAAATAATACCACATGAAATAAATAGACTGATAAAATTTATATGTTGTCATGTAGCAGAATTTTCTCTGTTTTGGCCTTCTATAATCATGTTTAGGTTGTCATTGCTTTGTAAGTGTGGTTTTATTTGTTACAACCCTCAAACGTTTCAGAGTCAGCAGAATTATCGACTGTGGACGTGACGAGCAAGCCGATGACGAGCCCTACGACCACGATGTCAGACACAACGACATCGCAAGAAACCACCGCCTCCAGTAAGTAAGAGAAACAATTAAATAATGTCATGCTTTTGATCATCATTATATTTTGTCTAGCCACTACCCCCTTCTCTCTCTCTCTCTCCCACTCTTTCTCTCTCTCCCTTCCCCTTTCTCTCTCTCTCTCTCTCTCTCCTTCTTTCTCCCCTCCCTATTCACCGACCACTCCCCTCCATCCCTCTTTCGCTCTCTCTTCATCTTTGTAGAAGACGTGTCTCAGTCGAGTGTTTTAAGCACTGACTTAAAATCCATAGGTCGTGGTTCGATCCCCGACACGGCATTAATATCCTTTGGCAAGATATTAATCTCCATTTGCCACACTCGACCCAGGTGAGTTAAATGGGAACCTGGTATGAATTAATTCCTTGAAATACTAGAGCGCCGTGATGTCAGCTAGGCTATAAAGCCAGGGTAATAATTGTATAGATAGACGGCGCTTTATAAATGCCTATTATTATTGCCACTCTTTCAGTCTTTATCTGACTCTGAGTAATAGAAACAATACAGTGACGTCATGCATTTGATCATCATTATAATGGGTCTTGCCACTACCACTCTCCTCTTCTCTCTATCTCTCTGTCTGTCTCTCTCTCTCACTCTCTCTTTCTCTCGCTCTTTCCCTTCCCTCCTCCTCCCCTATGTTTCATTCATAAAAACAAAAATAACTGTATGATATACCATCGCTATCTGCGATGGTGAGCAAAGTTCCTGTAGGTATTGATTTTTATAGCTGTAATTTTGTTCACGTCTTTGCATCGACTTTTATTATTATTATTATTTTCGTCATCACCATCATCATTATCTATTTTTCTTTAAGTATTTCAGATTCTACCCAACTAATTATTTTTGTCTACTTTCTTAAAATTGAGTAATTTACATATTTTATTTTCATCTTTTCAGCATGCTCATCCCCGGTGGATTGTGAATTCGGCGGGTGGTTCTACAATTTCAGCACTTCGGAGATGACTCATTCTTCTGCGGTTTCAGCTTGTTCCCAATACGGATCCCATCTGGTCTTCATCGAGTCGCAAGAGGAAGAGGACTTCATCGCGGGGCTTGCTAGTGAGGACTACTGGATCGGGCTGACCGGCTCAAGTCTCAGTGAGGCAAGGTGGCTAGACGGATCAAGTCTTACATATAGCAATTTTAACCAGGATTCGTTCAATGAGAATGTAAGCTGTTTTCGTATTAAGCGTCAGGGTCAATATAGTACTTGGCTTGATAGGGATTGCTCCAGACGATTTAGATTCATATGCGAGAAAGAAGTGGGGATATAAAAATTGGATTAGTTTATTTCAATTTTTCATACCACCTGGTTGCACCACTGATTGCATCTGAACACCTACATGGGGATTGGTTGGGGGCAAGGGAATACCCCCCCCCCCCCTCCCAGAAAGAAAAAAAATCGGGTTTTCGTTCTTTTGTCATTGTTTGCATAAGTCTATCGGAGCTTTAGGAATGTTCGAGTTTGTGGTATTTGCCGTTCCATGCACTAATTTTTCACACAAAGAGCACTGAAACCATTGTTAAAGGTGTTGATTTATGGTGTTTAAAAGACGGAGCACTTTTCATCTTTACATTCCAGCAATTCGAAAATAATCATATTAATGACTAGAATCAGTGGCGGTTTGTTCTTTTTGTGTTTTATAGAATCTCATTTTTATTACCAAGAGACTTTGTTCAAACTTCATTGTATAATAATAGTTAGGGCTTCACGAAATGATGAGACGTCAAAAAATTACAAAAAAAAGATTACAACATAAAAGCGCAGTTTGTGTAGTAAAGTATTTATAAGGTCCATTATACAAGTATACATACCTGTATACATATACTTACTTATACATGTACATGTAAATACACATACACATATACATATGCATATGCATATCTGTCTGTGGTCTCGAGTAATGAGCTTATACTTCAGATACGACTAGAACTAGTGGATAACGAAAACAAATATTGTAACGTCAATGTGTCAAAACACACGGCAGTTTATGACTTTATTTACTTGTTTTAAGTTTCAAGTTAATTTTATTCTATAATATACAATCATAACCTAAATAAATAGAATACAATGAATAAATGCATTTTTTCCATTAAAACTATATACAATACATGACATCGTGTCATATAAGTATTTCAAGACAAGGCAAACGAATAACGAAAGACAAAAGTCAATATTTTATCTTCCAAACTTAAGGTAAAATGAATATGGATGTAGTGTAAAATATGAGATAATCTAAAGTAATATGCTCGGTTTATAAATTATTAACTATACACCGCGTCCCAGAAAAGATGAAAATCGAAAACAAATAGATATTGTGAATAAATATAGGTGTATAATAAGATGCTTTGCTTTCATAGAGTAAAAGTAATATGCTTTCCAATGATACATTGATTACATTAATCTATACACGCTTCACTGAGCAACATTGCTTTTGCAATGCCATGTCAACATCCACTTGTGCCGGATTTGTGTAAAAGAGTAAAACCGTTATTATCAAAATATCAAACGTGAACATGACCGATCATGACCTGGAAGAAACACACATTTTAAAAGCGAATGCGAAGATTATTTTATAGAATCTTTAGACCTGATACATGTACAAGGTGCAATACTTTATTATAGCCGTATGTTCTGATTCGTTAAATTGAAGATATGCGGGTTTTCCATTAATAGAGGTGTCAACTCAGCGATTAGCTTCACATCCTAGTTGTGACTCTTTAGAACCACTACAAGGTGCAATACTTTATTATAGCTGTATTTTTCTGATCCAGAATATTGAAGAAATGCGGGTTTTTCCATTAATTAATAGAGGTGTCAACTCTTTAACAATTAGCTTTACATGTTTTGCACAACATTGTCGGGAAGGGTATTGATTATATTTTGCTATTTACTGCCAAATTGCCTGTACATTCTAGCTACTCTAAATTTCTTGAAAATGCTGAAATGTTGACCATCATGTGCAGCCGCACGTACCGTGGCCTTCGGAGCGGACGCGACGATGCGTTGCAGGCCAATCCATTGTTGTCTTCTCTGAACGCTCCGGTGCGCCTTCTGTAGATGTGTATAAGAAATGTATTAATGTTTTAATGCTACGTTTATCTACCTTGTTTCTTAATTTGCCTTTTAGCCTAAATATCTCCTCTCTCTCTCTCTCTCTCTCTCTCTCTCTCTCTCCCTCCCTCCCTCTCCATGTCTCTCTTTTTCTCTCCTCCCTCTCTCTCTCTCTCTTTCTCTTCTTTCCCCTTCTCTCTCCCCTCTTTTCTCTCTCTTCTCTCTCTCCTCTCTCCTCTTTCTCGCTCTCTCTTTCTATACCTCACTCTCTACCTCTCTATTCTCTCTCTCTTTCTACCTTCCTCTCTCTTCCTCTCTCTTCCTTCTCTCTCCCTCACTTCCCCTCCGTATCTCCCCTCCCCTCTCTTTCCCTCTACCTCTCTCTTTTTCTTTCTACCCTCCCCTTTCTTGTCCCTCTCTTTCTCTCTCACCACTTCTTCTTCTCTCTCTCTCTCTCTCTCTCTCTCTCTCTCTTTAGTCATTTATCTTCTTTTCGATTTCCTTGTCATATCTCGCCTTGGTCTAGCCACATCTAGCCAGCCGTTGTATATTGTATTGTAACCATATTTTCATGTGTGTGAAACAATATGTTCTTCTTAAGTGTATATTTGTTGGTTCAATTTTGTTTACACTATTCAATTTCATTGTAAATCAACCATTATGAGTTCCTGAACTTTACGTGTTGATGTTTTTAAACCGAATAAATAAATAAATAAATAAAAAAAATAAAATAGAGCTTTATTAATAATGAAGGCAAGATGAATATATACCATCTTTATCATGAAATAATGCATCGTGGAAATATTGTTAATGGTGAGGGTAAAAGGGCAAACTTTAGTTAGTGAATGGGTCTGCAATTGAAAAAAGAGCAAGTTAAAAGATATTTAAAAAACAAGAATCAAATTGATGGGTGCCTTACATTTTGATAAGAATATTTATTGTATCAGTATTGCTGTTATTATCATAATTATTATTATTATTGTCATTAGCATTATTATTACTTTTGCTGTGACTATAACTATTATTTTACAAGTTAATCATTATACTTATTGTAAGTAAAGCCGATGTAAATATGCAAACTTGATACGATGGGAGTTGCCACGTTACAGGATGATTCATTTTCTAAAGTCATTGAAATAGTAGCATTAGTGATTAAATGTTTGTTTGACGTGCAAAAATTAGTTTCAATTACTATCCTGTCAATTGTGTTTGTTTGAGTAAGAAGAAGAGAGATACACGGTACATAAGAACGTGTGGAAAGGAGAAATTGAGAGAAGTTGCAATGAAAGAGATGTATAATTTAGTGAGAGAACTCGAAAGGAAGCGACAAAGAGTGAGAGAATGTGAGAAGATATTTATGTAAAGTGAGAGAAACTTGTCATGAAAGAGATGTATGATAGAGTGATATAATTTGAAAGGAAGACTCAGATAAAGATTACAAGAATAAGCGAAGGTGGTAAATGGAGCAAATTGCTTAATGAAAGGGAGTGAGATAATTAGAAAGAGAGAAACACAAAAGAGTGAGAGAATATGAGAAGATAATAAAGTGACAGACTTTTAAGACATAAAAATACAAAAGGTAAATGGATTTGAATGGAAGAAATAAAAAGTAACAGATTGTAAAAAGCTGATAAAGGCAGAGACATTTTAAATGATGTATCTAAAAAATGATAATAAGCGGTATACATGATTGAGAGAATTTGAATAGACGTGATAAACATATAGACTGAGAGAATGTGCGGATATAAAAATGAAATTAGAGAACTTCTGTTATCACGTTATATACAACCCAGCATCGGGATAGGATGATTAGTATTTTCTACTATGAACGAAAAGAACAGAGGAAAGAAGCTTATACCTGCGATTAGTCTCACTGGACAGCGCCTCCTAGTGGCGAAGTCCCGCAGCATAATACATATTGACTTGTACACAAACAA